AACCCGAAGAAAACTCTCATCTTAACAAAACCCTAATTTTACAAAACACAATTTATTCTTATAAAACTTAAATCAAATTCCATAATTATCTTCTAAGAATCATTAGGAAACATCTTTGTGAATGTTCTTTGAAAGAAAACCATTTTTGAGTGAAACCCTAACTTCCAAAAATTCATATTTTTAAGAAATCAACTCACATTAGGGTTTAGAAACTTCCTTTAATCATTCTCTAAACTTTTCTCAAAGAAAAACCAAGTTTTCTCAAAACCCTAAAAATCTTCTCATCCAAAAATCTTGAGAATAAGAGGGAAAAACCTAGTTCTATTGCATACCTTTGCTTTCCCTTAGTCTCCCCTACGATTTTCCTTAAGTTTGGCCGCCGGAAACCTCCGCCGGAGACGCCGCCGAAGAACCCGTCGCCGCTCCTACCCGCGCCTCATGCTACTTGGTTCCGCTCGATTTGGTCGTGACAAGCGAATGGGAGAAGAGGGAAGGATTTCGGTTTAGTATAAAGGGAGAAATGGGAAAGGCCAAATGACATAATTACCCTCACTTAAACAATTTCGGCCTTCATAAGGCCTAGGGGTAACCTTGGCATTTCTATCCTTCCGAAAATTGTAACTCTCAAAATACTCAAAATACGATATATGTTCTATACATCAAAACGATCAGAATTTTACGCTCTATTTTCTAAAATTATTCCCGTAGAAATCCGACAACCTCGAGTTTTTCACTTAAATATCGCCGCGGCGCTTTGAAAAGCGTGCGAAGCCTAAAACGATGTTTTGCGGGTTTTACAAAATACTTGAGATCTTCAAGTGTTTCCTATCAAATTGGCATCAGAGCACGTCGATCGAAGGGGAACCAATGGCCGGAAGGAAAGTGAAAATTTTGGAGGGAGAACTTGGGCAACTCAAAGAAAATTTTGAGGAAAAGATTACTTATTTTCAAAGTCAGATTACATCCGTCAATGAAAAGATGGAGGAAAAGTTCACAATGGTGGAAGACTTGTTGAAGAAATAGCTTTAAGCCAAAACCAAACCGGTGACATCAAAAACAACGGAAACTACTGGCGGCCATGGAAGAGATGGGAACCCTAACACGTCTAAGGGAAGGGAAAAGCCAGAAGTGGAGATCCTGGAGGGAGAAGACGGAATGCCTCCTCTAAAACCACTTTATAGGGAGGAGATGAGCATTGGCTACCAAGAAGGGGTGCTGAATTTGTAAGGCGAGGAGATGATTTCGATCGCCGGGTGCTGATTTTGAAAGAAGAATAGGGGATTTTGATGAATGGTTTGGGTATGATCGTCGGAGGGAAGATCGTGACAATTGGGGAGAACCTCCGCTTTGAGGAATGGGAGGTTATGGAGGATTTACGGGAAATGATATGACCCGAGGGTGAGGAAACTGAAGATGCCAATCTTAGAGGGGGAGGATGCACACGGGTGGATCTACAAGGTAAAAAGATATTTCATCGTCAATGGGCTGACAGAGGAGGAGAGATTGACGGCGGCAGGCAAATGTTTAGAAGGGAAGGCTTTGTCTTGGTATCAATGGAGGGACATGCGACGACCCATACGAAGTTTGAGAGAGTTCAAGGATTGCTTAGTAGAATGTTTCCGAAATGACAGGGGAGGAGACTTCTACGAGCAGTTCTTTGTCTTGACACAGAAGGGTTAAGTGACGGAGTACTGGGACAGATTCGAGTGCCTTGCTAGCCGATTGGACCGTCTTTCTAAAACAGTGCTAGAGTGAAACTTCATGAAGGAATTGACACCAGACATCCGAGCAGCGGTTAGAGTAATAAGGCCTCGTGGCTTGAAAGAGGCTATGGAGCTAGCTCAATTGGTAGAAGATCAGAAGCACCTGGAGGGAGAGACGGGAGGCGGCATCTCAGGAGACTCGTACAGGATGACCACCACTTTATTGAAATCCAAGGAGCCAACACCGAATACTTTTCGAGGGACTTTGAAGGAAAAGACTGCAGGAGGAAGACCTGGGGATAACTTCAAGAAGCTCACAGAAACAGAATTACAGGAGAAGAGGGCAAAGGAGCTTTGTTTCAGATGTGATGAGAGGTATACGCCGGGGCACAGGTGTAAGGACCGAACTCTACAGGTTCTTACCACTTTGCGTACAAGGTGGATCTTTGAGAGGGGAGTATTGTTAGACCAGTCCACTGGACTTGTCCAGTCGATTCGTACGGGACAGGCATTTTGCAAACCGACACGGGATCTCCGCCTCCTGCGGAGATCAGGCGGCCCGACCACCCAAGCGGAGCTTTTTAGGAAGTTTTTTTGAGGGTTTTGAGAGGGAAATTTGAATGTAGGGACTGATTAGGGATTTCCTTTTGATTTATATGCATTAAATAGTTGGTTTTGCTAGGGTTAGGGCATCTTGAATTTGGCTAAAATTTGAGATCTCTTAGATTTTAGGTTTCCTTTGGGCTCTAGCTATGTCTAGAGATTTGGGAGAGATTAATCCTCCTCTCGAATAGAGGATCAAGTGTATCTTTCTATTTTCTGTTTCGCTTTCATCAAGTAATACAAATTATCTACTGTTTTTTGTGATTTTGTGTGGATTTTGTGGAGAAAGCTCACTTTTTTTCGAAGATTGATAGAAAATACTTGAGATCTTCAAGTGTTTCCTATCAGCTTGATGCGTCAAGTTGATGATGATGTGTTGGAATTAAAACTTCTAGATTTGTTGTAATTTGGTCTTTTCTTTTGTATGAAATTAATTCTAATCGAAACGAGTTCACCTTAGCGAGCACGTCTTTTAAGAAACATATACAACCAACTTTTCATGGAGAGCTTTGAACGACATCGGCTACCCACTTGCACGAATGACTCAATTATTTTCTATAAATTTTGGCCTTATGTCATTTAGATAGTGGACAATGAGATCATTTCTTGCAGAACAACCCCAATAAGAGCCTTTCTATTAGGAATAATTCTAAGTGTTTGAAGGAATTTAGTGAAGCAATTTTCCTCACGAGTTCTTAAAGATAAGTTCTCTTTAAAAAAAAGCACAAAACCATGAGCAATTCTCGTATAACCTAATGAGTTTGTCCCATAAAACAGAAGAAAACAGCATGGAGTTTCTCTTTTTTAGCACACACAATTGAATGCTCAAAAAGAAATTCGCAAATCTTTTTTTTTGGTAGTGGAATTTCTAAAATACAATGGAGCTGCATACATATATAGTTATAGAAGTCCTCTTTAGGAAGTACATGTCAATATAGTTATATAGCTATCCATATATCACATCATTTAACACACATCACGAGATGATGTAGATGAGGCTAAGTAGGCTGATGGCAGTTCAAATAAATCGGTGAGCATGGAGTGAAGCAAAAGCTAGTTTTGTTGAACCCAATGGATGTGTTTTGGACTATGGATTTCAGCTCCATCTTGAGTGATAATGGGGGACCTGGATTTTCCAAGAGGGTCAATTGTTTGGAGTGAGTTTCAATGGTAACTAGGCAGGGTTAATGAACACAAGTTGCGATTGTTCTGAGGATTAAAGGAAAGCAATCAGATTAACAACTTTTTCAACTATGGTGTATAAAAAAAGTCATAGAGGAGGATCTGTTCGTTGGATTTTATAGGGCTTCAATACCATAACAAATGTCTTGAGTACATCATCTTCATTGAGAGAATCAAAATCATATGCAGCTTTACATAGCATGCATGAAAAAGATTATAAGGCCAAGAACGGCAAGTGTTAATGTGGTGTAATAATAATATAGCAATACAGATCAGAATAGATTGATTTGTCACCTATTTATGGTGAGCACTCTGCACTGATTGAAAGAGATATTTCCTTAATAAAGCGATATCATAATTGATGGTCGAGATCAAGAGGTTCATTCAATTTATGGATCTTAGACCTTTGTGGCCTTCAACCATAATTGAATAAGGCTCAAGAGTAAGTGATTCCATGCTGGCTCCATATTAATTACTGGCCGCTTGTTCCATAGCACTTCCTGGTGTTAAAAACCTCCATTCAATGAGATCAGTGTACAGAGCTATCATATTAGTAGGAGATATGTTAAGGAATATTAGAGTACTGGGTTCAATTCAACACCAGATACTGAAAAAAAAAAGGATAGAAATACTAAGGCCATCATTAAAGGCTTAAGGTTTGGATTGGAAAATTCATTTGCCCACCAAATTGTCATGTCCAACTTTAAACCCCCATTGTTTCACACTCCCTAACAATGTTGGACATAAATATTGAATATCGTAATTAGAAATGTACAAAAGAAATCACTCCAACATACAATGAAATATTGGAAAATGGAGTCACTCAACTTGCTTGACATTGGAAAAAAAAAGCTCTGGGATACAACCTAGGAGAAGGAAGGTTTTCTGAAACCAAAGCTAACTTGATTAGTTCAAGCCATCTAAATGTACTTTGATACTACTTTTTTATGTCAATAAGAACCATTTAAGGACCAAGGTTACCAATATATTAGTTGCCACATATTCAACCAACGGCTTAAGCCAATGGATGAAGAAAAACCATTGATTCATTTAATATCAATAACCACATTTTTAATTATTCAATGTGGCTAAGCACAATACTTTCACATGCTAATGTCCCTTTGGTCAAATCAATAGGCCCTAAAATTCTTGGAGAAATGTGATCATTAATGAAGACATTGATAGATGTGATCCTGATAAATACATAGATTTTTATTTTCCTAAAAGAAAATGTAGTGTGTGCAATGTGCATATTTGAAATAACAAATATGAATCAAACAAAAAGGGTGGGTATCATATCCACTTCAGCATTCATTGGTCCACATATGCTGTAATAAAATAAAATAAAAAGGTTCTAGGTACTTTTAAGTGTGCATTTCTCATTGGGTTTTACCTTTACTATTTATATTAGCAAAGAAGCACATGGAAGACCCTTCAGGTTTATGAAGAGATGACGCACTAATAAATGCAATATAACATCCTGAGTGAGGAAAAGATGGTTATAGAAAATACCTCCGCAAGATTCTTACGTGTAACCATGACAATACCAGTTGAAAGGAACTGACACAGAATAGCAATGCAATTGAAAATAAGCACCGTCAACACAATTTCAAACCCAAAACGGGCCCCTCCCTCAACAGCAACCAACCATTTTCCAAGATCAATGTATGTCATAGATACTAAGATTGCAGGTCCAAGAGATGGAAAAATATGAGTTGTCGCACCTCCAAAACCTCCAATAGCCATGGCTAATTCTGGAATCAATTTATTATTTAGCAATAAACAGGCAGAAGATAGTCACAGCACTGCTGTTCAACGGAACTTATTTCAGAATCAATCTGAAAAAATTTCTGGCATTTCTGTATCTCCGCTTGCAACTCTAATAATAGCAGTTAAAACGGCGAACTAAACACTAATTCACCACTGGGATACATTGCAGATCACTCTGAACACCGAAAGCCTCTTCCTTTCCACTGAAATTAATAACATACATGAAGGTGCTCAGGATAATGGTCCCATTGCAAAAAGTTTCTACCATCGAAGTCTGAATAAGCTAATCCAAATGACATGAACACAAAAGATACGGTAATTAGGTGTTAGAAGCCCTTAACCAATCCTGATTTCCATGCTATGAAACATCCCACACATTATGGTATGAAGTTTAATAAGGAAGATCTGAATCCAGTTCCAAGTGCCGCAATCCAGTAAAGTTATGCACCAAAAAGTGACTGGTTCAATAAAATACAATACAGCTCCATCACGTTCCTGTTAGCACAGTAAATACTTAATGTTAATATAATTCTGTGTATCTTAGTCTAGTGGTACACGTAGGCATTAACATATAAACAAATGTCTATTTATACCTACAGGTGTGGCTGTACTAGCATGATGAAAATAATACATTTACATTTACATTTATCTTCTTGTCTTCTTCTTGATTACTCTTGGTTCTCTGAAATGAAGTCTTGAGTTTCTACAGTTCCAACCCCGATGACAGGATCTCCAGGATCAGCAACTCCAACACACTACTTATTAAACACTTGGGAAATGCCACAGCATTCTGCAACAAAAATAAAGCTTCTCAGGCAGCTCTAAGTAGCAAAAAAATGTGACAAGAAGAAGAAAGCAACACAAAAATAAGAAATGGATCAAACAAAACATGAAAATGATGATCATTAAAGAATTGAAAGTTCTGCTTTAAATGGAATAAAGTTTACTTCCAACCTTAAGCATAAAAGGGAATCCGCTAAAAACCAATCAAAATAAGAAAACGCCGCCGGAAACATAGAAGAAAAAAGAAAATACCACAGCACAACCAATCACCCTCAAATCAGGGCCAATTCCACACCCAGAAACAAACAAAAAAAAAAAAAAAAAACCGCAACGAAAGCGTGATTTCTTAGCTGCCCACAAAAAAACCAAAATAAAAGCCCCAGAATATATAGACAGCATAAGATCCGTGATTTGAGCCGCCGCAGCTGCTCTGGGGCAGCTCAGTCAACCCGAAACCCTGTCGATCATTTCTAAAATAGATTAGCATATAATCGGTAGCGGGTGAGCTACCAAAAACATCCTCAGCAAGGGAATCACCGTACAATACTTCCTAGAAGCTAGGAAAGTGGAATCCTGCAGTACATCAATCTGAAATCCTCGTATCAAAACAGAGCCGAATAACGTGGAAGATAGCGACGGTAAAAAGACGAAGAGAGAGTAAGAAACAGAGAGAGATTGCCAGAAGCCGCCTTGCGACGGAATCCACCGACTGTCCTCCTTGAAAACGAAGAGAGAGAGAAGCTGCGGGAGCTGGAGAAGAGAGCGCAGTGGATGCTCCAGGCCTCCTTTTTTTTTCGGTGCTATAAATTATTTTTCTGCTTTAAAAAAAACTCCCGTGTCATTTCTTTTTTCCTTTCAGGAAGAATCTGAAAATTTACCACTTTTTTCTTATATTTTTAGTTGCTACCGGTCTTATTGACTTTGTAAGTTTAACGTGAACACGCGGCGGGACGATATTGGAGGCAGGTGGCTTTTACTGGTCCGTACGATCGTTTCCTGCTGTAATTGAGAAGGGGCCGAAGCGCGAGGGGCTGCATTAACCCACGTGTCACGAAAAAATGGGACATGTGCAGGTGCTGTTCGCTGCGATGAACTCTTTAGCTGCAATTCGAGACATCAAGTTCTACTGTACTTGGAAAAAAAATTTACCTACGTAATATTAGGACTACCTCATTACACATTCAACATTTGGATTTGTATTAAACATCTAATTCATATCATTTACATTTACTTATTTTAAATAATATCAAATATGTGCAAATAATATCTTTTTTAACTTATTTTTTAATTTTCTCTTTGTGCGATCAAATTATTGTCCATCATGAAGTTTCAAGATTATTTCATACTTCTTCAATAGCAATGATGGCCTAAACTAATGAGAATTTCAAGACGGCAGCACATATCGGGAGTCTCGGCAATGGCCTTCACTATCAAGATCTCATTGTGACTTTCTTTCATTTTTTTCATTGTTAATAAATTGCTCGTCCTTCCACAATGAGATTATTTATGAGTAGAAGAATCAAATAGTATATGATTCTTCTAGGTGATCAATAGCTCATCCTCTAACTCAATATTCAATTTGTATCATGTTTTGAAAAACTATAAATATGGGTGTCAATATTTGGCATGACTCGAAAATCCGACTCGAACCCGACACAAAAAATTCGCTTGCCAACCCAAACTTGAAATGGGTCGGATTCAGGATCAGATTTTCGACACGTTTTAAATTTCGTGTCGGGTTTGGGTTGACCCAGAAACCCGAAATTGACCTGTAATACTTCACAGCTAGCGAACTCGAACAGCAACATGAGTGAACTCCCGTCCAACCTGAAGGGAACGTCGTCCAAAGAGTGAAGTTGAACAGCAGCAAACTCCTGTCGTTGCTTTTGAACAAAGTGTTACAACTTTCGATCCAACAGGAAGGAGACGTCGTCCAAGGAGTAAAGTTGAACAGTAGCGAACTCTCCTTGTTGCTTCCGATCAAAATGTTGCAGCTTCTGATCCAACCATAAGGGAATGTCGTCCAAGGAGCGAAGTCGAACAACAACGAAGGAGCCAACGAGCGAACTCATGTCTAACTTGAAGGGTGTCCAAGGAGCGAAGTCATAGTGTCGAAGAGCAGCAAACTCCTGTCATTGCTTATGATCAAAATGTTGCAACTTCTGATCCAACTAGAAGGGAGTGTCGTCCAATGAGTAAAGTCGAACAGCAGCGAAGGAGCCAATGTAGCAAGCAAACTCCCATCGTTCTTCCGATAAAAATGTTGTGGGTCAGGTTCAGGTTGACCCGAATCCGAAGTGGGTCGGGTTTGGGTTCAAAAAACCGACTCATTTGCAAAACTGGGTCAATTTTGGGTCGAGTCAAACAGTGTAGGATCAATTATGGGTTAGACCCGAACCTGACCCGTGACCCAATTTTGACAACACTAACTATAAATAACTTCTCTAGCCTTTAGAAGTGTCATCCATTTTTTTTTTTTTTTTGAAACATTTGCTTCCTTTCTCCCAGAGCAATGAACCATGCTAAAAGGTTTGCCATAAAAAAATGTGCAATGATGCTAGTGCAAAGAAATAAGGATACTATGATTAGGAGGGACAAGAAAAATACTTTGTTATTCCTCTTTTGAAAAGGATAATGGTGAATTTGATAAGTGTAGGAAGAACAAAACTTTTTGTGTAGATCCCCACCGACAATCTTCTTGGCAAGTCCTCCCCCATTAAAGTCGTCAGTGGCATTTTTTCTCTATTAAGCTTATATGGATAAAGATGATGAGGAAGTTGTATGCTAAGTATGTCGAACCATCAAGTTAGGTGCCCTCTACCCAGGATGATCAATTGGTTTATTCTCTTTCCACTTAGTGATGTTAGCTACCTAGAAGGCTAAGGTCATGGTTAAAGACTCCCTTGAGATGTTGATTTTCCAACATTAGAGTATATAGTTCCACCATCCTATGATGCACCAAGTTATCTAATTAGTAAAGAACTGTATTATAACGTGTCAGCTTCTTAGAATTCCCTAATATTGGCTTCCCAGTCTTTTTGAGATATTAATGTATATTCCATCAATTGAGGAGGTACCATTGCATGTGGGTGATGTCACGACCCAGCACGACATAATCATTATATTGGATAGGTCATATTGTAACAGCAGTTCTGTACATATCGTCCAGGCCGATCGAGGATCATCATGGGACGATCAGTTATAATTTTGTTCCAGATTATGTACAAAAGTTACAGGAAAAATTTCCTGTATGGATCGTCCAGGCCGATCTGGGATCGTCCCAGGACGATCAGAGCATGGCACAAGTCAGAGAGCAAGGGGTTTTTGAAAATTAATTATCGTCCTGGATCGTCCTGCGAAATCGTCCCAGGACGATATCCCAGCACAACATAATCATTATATTGGATAGGTCATATCATGTTTGATGCAAGACAAGTAATACCCAAGGTTTTCAGTGGTGTAAATTATTCTATATAAATATAATTGAAAGTGCTTATAGCACACCAAGTGTCACGCACCGGGATCTAAAGTGGAATTTTTTTTTCTATTTTCTTTCTTTTTCTTTTTTTATGTGCAATTAATATTCATTCATTTACAACTAGATCATTTTGACACCGTGAGCTGATTAATTATATTAAAGAAAAATAAATAAACAACATGAAAACATTATATTAATACAATACTGTCAATATTTGCATTTTATACTACAAACTCAAAAACCTATATAGCCACCACTAGCTACAAAATAATACATAAAAACTAGAAAACTTAAATAAAGCCAAAAGATCATCCCTATTTAGCCTCATGCAACAGACTCCTTACATTTACCTGAAATCATATAAAAATCACATAATAAGCATAAAGCTTAGCAAGTAATCAAAATTCTATCACTATTTTTATTACAAGGCAAAATAATCAATATGTATATTTTAGTTATAGTCAATATCAATCATTATTTAATATGAGTAATAAAATTCTGAAAAAATAATAATAAAATTAATATGATCAATAAAGTCAAAATAGAACTATCAAACTATAAAAAATAAAATAAAGATGTATCACCCAATAAGCTATGTTAATATA